GGGGGGGTAATTGATGGGAACTGCCGCCAGGCTGTTACATATTTTATACAGTTTCGCCATTTTTTTAGATTGAGTAGCAATTCCGTATTTTATCTCATTTTACCCATTTAAATTATTTCGCCAAGCTCTTCCAGGAAAATAAAAAAATTGTATACCGTATATAGAAGATGCGAGTTTCTACTACTATTAAAGATGACATTTGAAAATGATCATTACACGTAAACAAAATTATATTCGGTCTCAATTCAATCAATCCTTGTGCTTTTCTGAACCGACTAGGCAAGTGGCTGGGAGAAAAGAACTTATCATTCTCAGGAAAACATTGGGGATTTAGAGGGGATAGTTCGTATCAATCAGTTTAATATGCACACATTTATTGTGGCACTTGCCTTTCACCAAGGCGGCCGGGGTTCGATTCCCTGGTCGGACGTGAAAAGGTATGGGGTCACCTGCCCGATCACGTGGGTTTTCTCCGGTTACTCCAGTTTCCTCCCACATTAAGACCCACAGCGCGCTAACATCCGAGCCAACAAGAGTGATTAATATAAGTTGTAAAAACTTGTTTCAAAATTGTTGTAAAATAAATAAAGTTTATTTCATTTTATTTATTGTGACATTTGAATTGATTAATCTTAGAATTATGATTTAAAAGAATCGCTGACGTTGATTTTTATAGAAGAGTAAGACAATTATAGCTCAAATCGACAAATTCAAATTTCCCCACACCAGTCGTTTGACCCCATCAGAAAGTGATTTAATTTTAAAATACACCAAATATAGTTTTATCTAGCTGGATAGGTTTAGACGGAAAATGTATATCAACTCAGTGAGAGTTATTCCCCTTTGTCCGTTTAATAGATGAAACCGTTATTTCTGTTTTCAGGATGGTAACAAGGGCAATGTTCGAAAACCCAACACGGAGGTTGTGAGCGGGATAACGGATGGATTATATATAATACATAACGGACGGAAGTAGGATAAATAACGGATATCATAACGAGTACTGTGATTCGGTTGATTCAAAACGTGTTTTCTGCTCGTATGAGAAATCCAGTAGGGGAAATCCATTGTACATGTAGAATTTCATTTATATTTTAATAAAATCTTGTTTTGTTCTAATAACGTTCTGTTTAATGTCCTTATTTACGGTTATTTATATAAATCTGCTGTCAGCAATAGAGAGACCGGCATATAATACAATGTTTAGGCAGAACACATGTATGTTTTGCATGAAAGCATTAAGTGCATTTATAATAAATAAAAAATTCTGTTAAAATATCTACTTTTTAGATTGTAATAAAAATATTTATGATAGCATTTTAAATGATAAATACATAAAATATGTAGTCTACCTATTTATTGTAACTACAAAATAATGGTTAGGCGGAACTGAACTGGGTCGATCGTCGGCGATCAGGTATAGCTCAATTGGTAGAGCATCCGTCTAGAGTTCTGAGGGTCCCGGGTTCGAACCCCGGTCTGGCCGTGCATTTTTCCTCTGCTGTTACACATATATATCTGATAGTGTATTAGACAGCCCAGCCATAAAATAAGGAATTAGGCAGACCGCATGTATATATTTTTTTATGAAAATATCAAAAACACTTCAAATATCATCTTACTGCTTAAAAATCTAACGTTTCCATTGTAGTATGAGAAGCACTCTGCCTAATTCTTGTAATCAAAGAAATGGTTTTATTCCGGCCAGTTAAACATTTACTTACTTTCAGGATTAGGCAGAGCGATCTTAAAATAAGGTTTATGCAGACAGCATGTAAGTTTTGTATGAAAGTATAAGTTTCAAAAATACTTTTAATAGCATTTTATGTCTTAATTGTGTCAAAAGTTTAAACACTCTGCCTATTTCTTGTAACTAAAGAATAGGCTTTACGCAGACCTGTTATATGTATTTGTGCATTTTTATTGGCATTCAGTAGACCATGCCTGACTTCTATGTTCGGCAGATAGATAAATAATAGATCAAAATTTGAAAACCAAGGTCAACCTTCTAGCAAAATCATTTTAATATAATTCATACTGCAAACAAATTACTTTCCATAACCTGCGAATATAGCATTGCATCTAAAAATGTCGACACCCAAACTTAACATAACAACTAAACAACAAATCTATATAGTCCTCCACAATTACCAATTAACCCAATATCGGCTTCATGTGACCAATACATACATTGCGTTACCATACTGTATTTAAGTTAAGAATTTCCCGTACTTCGTATTACACATTTTTTCTTGTCGTATTTTCGTCAATTTATATTATTTCCATTTTTGTGCATGGCATTGTTCAGAACAATAACAACATTAAAACAAGAGGCCCAGAGGGCCTATATTGCTCACCTCACAAGAACCACCGTTGATACAAAAATTCCCTGTCACCCAAGGATGCTTTAGACCAAATATGTAAAAAAAATCATGTGATTTCACAGAAGAAGAAGGATTTTAAAGCTGTTTTTCCATTTTCCCTATTTTGCCCAGCCCCTCTGCCCGAGGAGGTTTAAGACCCACTATTTATGCAAAATCGATATCCATACCCCATAGGATGCTACTGTTAAAATTTGGTCAAAATACCTTCATCCGAACGGAAGAAAAAAGGACATTTAAATTATCCTCTATATCTCTTATTGGGCCCCGCCTCTCTGCCCGAAGGGGGGTCAGACCCACCATTTATACAACAAATTGTTTCCCCTTCACCCAAGGATGCTTCTTACCATAATTGGACACAATTCCTGTCAATCCCACAGAAGATGAAGGATTTATAAGAATTAGCTATGTTTTCCCTATTGAGCCCCGCCCATTTGTCCCCAGGGGGGCACATTCACTGTTTATGCAAAATTGAGTCCCCTTGGCCCAATGATGCTCCAGAATAAATTAGGAGTAAATCCCTTAATCCCTACGGTAGGAGAAGGATTCAAAGGTTTTACCCCTATTTCCCCTATTGGGCCCACCCCTCTGCCCCAGACGTTTATACAAAATTCCCCTTGGCCTGAGGATGCTTAATACCAAATTTAGTCAAAATCTACTGGAAAATTGATTTTTTTTTTTTTACATTTTACAATCAATTTGTTCATGGTTAGAGTTGTCTTCATTGAAAAATATCGGAAATTTTTGCAGATGGATAAAATTAACACAATGACAGTTATTTCTTTTAAAGGAAATCTTAAATAACAGAAATGAATTAAAACTAGAAATTGTTGATAATCATTGGATGGGCTTTTCACAGAAGTCAAGATATAGAATACAAAGGGAGAAAACTCGTATTAAAATTTCTTTCAGTTAGCTCATTTTGTACAGGAGACTGCACATTGCACTATCTATTCATATTGAACTTTGACCCATATTTCATAAAACATTGTATATGATTACCTAATCAGAACTCATGCTGGCCATAAGGAGCGGCAGAGGAAAAGTTGTAGCATTTTGGTTAGTATTGGCTTGGTAGAATTGGAGAAGATCGAAAAAGACTACTCATAATGTAACATATCCGAACATCACCCCTATACAAAAATAATATGAAAGAAAAAGTTTCCCCTCGTTTATTTCTTCATCATATCCAAAGATCAACTGTGTGCTTGAAATTGTTAACGAAATATATTTTTTTAGGCTGTTAACCAATCAGAGCTCGTGGCCGACATTTTGAAGTTGTTATCACTCCAAAAAGAAACATAAGTTCGTCAGGTCCTCAGGAGAAATACATGTTCTATATTTGTTTAATATTGCACTGGCAGAATTGGAGAAGAAGATCCTAGAATGTTTCACAAAAAACAGCACATTTGCACTTCGACCCCATATTTGAGATCAAAGGAAATATTCAAAATACCATAGGACATTAACGGTAAACGTTACAAAACAAGAGGCCCCATGGGCCTGCATCGCTTACCTGGTAATAATCTCACACTTGTAACCTTAAATGTGTGCTACAGGCTTAATATCAGTATTTGTGACTATAAGTCCAACATGTTAAAAGATTTTATAACATTTGACCCCTGTGACCTTGAAAGTCGAACAAGATCATTATGTTGGACAAACTTTAAGCATGCAACTTGCCAAATATCATCACCCTAGACCTGTTGGTTTTCGAAAAGAAGTTATTTAAAGGTTTTAAACATATTTGATCATTGTGACCTTGAATATTTGTCAAGGTCGTTCATTTAACAAACTTAGTAGCCCTTCATCCCAGCATGCTACTGACCGAATATCATAACCAAAGGCCTCTTGGTTATTCAGAAAAAAATGTTTTAAGATTGTGAGAAATCTTTTTACACAACCAATACAATTTTCTATGTGACGTTTTGATGACTATTACGAAATGTACACTGTCACCTTCATCAGACAAATGACAAATGAAGCGTATGCACACAAAGGTGTAAAATATGTACTAGTTGTCCATAAAATCGATGTCGATTTCGGCTACGCTGGAAACGTATGTACAAAAGTTGTTATATTATACATATACAATGGCCTTCGGGCCAGGTGAGCTGAAAACTAAAAACTACAAAAAAAAAGTTTTTTAAAGTTCAAAATGAAAAAGTTGAAAAATGCATTTTGATGAAAACGGGTTTTGACTTTCGTTTTTGAAATTTTATTTAGAGTAGTTCAAGGTCATTCATTTGCACACAATTTCAAGCCCTTCATTCAAACGTGTTCTTGCCAAACATCGCTACTCTGGAAATATTGATTATTCAGAAAAAGTGGTTTCAATGTTTTAACATATATGACCTTTGTGACCTTGAAAGTCGACCAAGGTCAATCATTTTGACAATGTTATGTATTAAATATAAAGATTTCCAACCTTGTAGAATTTCAGAAGAAGTTTTTAAAAGTTTTCACCCCTTAATAATTCAAAATTGACCTAGTCAACTCCGAATGTTTTCTGCCAAACATATGCGCATTGGTGTTGTTCACGTCATACCTAAATATAAAGTGAATCTATTGAACAATTTTCGAAATATTCTTGATAAAAGATTTTTTTTAAACATTTGACCTTTGTGACATTGATAGTTGATCATGGTCAATCATTTCTTCACACCTGATAGCTGGACATCTCAGCATCTTACATATCAAATATCAAGACTACACCTCGTAGAACTCCAGAATTTTGCATTTGAACTTTGATCCCTACCGAAAACCGGAAGTTGACCACAGGAATACATGTATACGTACTTGTAATTGTGGTTAATAATGCAACGGCAAAACTTTAGAAGAAGATCGTTTAAGTTTGTAAAAGTATTGTCGGCTTTCAAAAAGATCAAAGGCAATAATGAACACGTCATATGACGTTAACAGGATATGTTTCAGAAACAAGAGACCCAGAGGACCTGTATCGCTCACCTGGATATCAAAGTAATCATGGCAAAATATTCCCAAAATAAGATCCAAGGGAATGGGCCAGACCCCTAGTCCAATCCTTGTATCATATCTGTATAAGAATATTCATGCCCAGCAATTTTATGTATGGTTATGGGATGGGGATCTCAACTGTTTCCAAGCTGTGACTCAGAAACTAGGTCCCTAAGGGTTTGGCCAGACCCCGGGGTTTATTCTAATAACATGACTGCATTCGTCTCTTTATGCCCAGCATTTGTTTATACAGACTTGGGATGGGGATCTCAACCGTTTCAAAGTTATAACCCAGGGACCATGTCTCCAAGGGTGGGGCCAGACCCCGGGGTCTATTCTAATATCATGACTGCATTTGGGGTGGGGATCTCAACCGTTTCAAAGTTATGACCCAGGGACCATGTATCCAAGGGTGGGGCCAGACCCCGGGCAAATCATGGAAGCATATGTGCATTCTTCTCTTCATACTCAGCAATTGTATATATGGTTATAGGATGGGGATCTCAATCATTTCCAAGCAATAAACTATTTTTGGACCCACTCTTTAGCCCCACTATTTGTACAATTTGAACCCCTGCCTCCCATAAAAATAATAATAATAATATCTTTTATTTGTACAGAGTTATATATATATA